ATATTGTTTTCGTGACTACCAGTAAATCAGTAGTATGAGATGTATTCACCTAATTTCGTTAAAGGTGATGACCGGGCTGGTAGAAGAAGAATTTTCCCACAATCATATAAGTTCAGCTGACGTTTCCATTCAATTTCACAGAGCCTTGCTTCACCAAAAGTTGACCTCTTCCAAGCTAAGTTTGACTGTAGTTAACCACTCGGCCACATTGCAACGAGTGTTTTTATCTCATAGGCCAGATGTGAATTTCAAGGAATGCCAGCCTTTTCCTATTTCACAATATTTGGTGAGATTTTTGATGAAGCAAACCTATTTTTGCTAAATTCACATAAGAACAATACTTGTTTCTTGTTATCGAAACACACCCTTGTCTCGTCGTGCTAATGTGCTGGGCTTTCGTCCGTCATACCAACTTATAGATTCACTCAAAACTGGACAACTTTTTTACTAAAACTGTCCAGCTGTACAACTTCTTTTACGCTAAATCCTGAATCCAAAGTTCCACACCCAATCGTCCTGAATGCGAGAGCCTCAGCGTAAATACCCGCTTCACTGAACCACTTGCACCAGAACTTTGATGCTTCTGAAGCCCGTCGGTCTACACTTTGCATGACATGAACCGGTGAATACAAAGTCATGTTTTTTGTCAGATGCTTCTTGGAGAACGACCAACCGTCTGCTCTATTGGATGCGATAATTTCTCGTTCGAGATCATTTAAGTAGTCCTCTTCTTTCAGAATGAGTGGGATTTTCTCCATTCTCGACGTCATCGCCTAAATCCGCCTTCTCCCTTCATCACTGGAGAAGCGTCCGACCACACCCAAATTGGCGCAAAAGCCCACCTTACTCTTGGCCAACCCAGTCCCATTCAGAACCAACATTGTTCCATCGGTTGCAAGTCTGGCAACAGCGATTTCCAGCCCGAAAAAGACGAATAATAAGAAGTCCAACAGAGTCGTAGAGGAAAAGAAACAAAGGAAGAGGGGCGAGGGTTGGAAAAGTGAAACGGGGAGAGGAGTGGGATGGGGAATAAAAGGAAAAATGAGAGAGAGAGAGAGAGAGAGAGCGTGTGTGTGTGTTAGAGAACGAAAGGATATAAAGCGGAAGAGGGTGATACTAAGGGCAAGGAGAGCGAAGCGACGAGAAAGAGGGAGAAGAAGATATAGAATGGGAGGAAAAGAAAAGAAAACAAAACAAAGGAAAGCGAAGTGGGAGGGGAGACGAGAAAAGGTGGAGGAGACGAACGGGAAAGAGAAGAGAGGGCGAGTAAGAGGAAGGGGGAAAAGTAAAAGAGGAATGGGTGCAAGAAGCGAAAGGAGTATGAAGGAGAAGGAAGAGGTTGAATGGGCCATGCGAATGTGGGCACGAAAGGAGTGAAGGAGAAAGGAGAAAGTGTGTGTGAGAGAGAGAGAGAGAGCAGATGGTGGCGACGCGAGGCAGTGAGGAGAGAGTGAGGGCCAAGTGGACTGCAAAGGGTACACCCGAAAGTGTGACAGACAAAGGCAACTTCCTGTCTGCGGTCTGCTTCTGGACGGGGCCACCTCCCAACTGAGCTTGTCATGACAGACAGTTGGAACGGTGTTGTGTCCCCAGGCCCTTCCGGTAACCGGGCAGAATGGGACTGATCTGTTGGCGCACTCGGTCGCCATGGCAGCCGGCCTGCACACAAACATCACCTGGGGGTTGCAGCAAGAGCTGTCGACGAATCAATACAGGTCGCAATGGCCTGGCAGCGGGACGAGGTGGTGCACTGAGACTATGCCGGGAAAGGGTAGATTTGGGTGAAAATTGACCACTTGTAGAAGATGTTGTGGAAGATAATAACTTTTGGTACAAGAAAATTCAGTAAAATCAAGTTTTCTCGTTGTCACAGTCGCCCGACTGACCGATGGAAAGTACGATCACATCTGTCCAGAATGGGGCATCATTTGGTTGCCAAAGCACACTTGGATCCACCGCAAGACCGAGAGTGTGGGTGCTTGTTGTCATCAGAGGTCGGTATTTTGTTGGTGTTCATTTGCTGTTTGGATTTGGGCACCGAAGTAAGCAAGATTTCTGTGCTGGACTACGGCCGGGTTCAGGGCCGCCCGCATTGTTAATGTTATGGATGCGGCTGTCGTTGAATGGGAGTGGCAAGGATTCACGCTAGAACAGTGTTTCCTCCTTCAAATTACTATTGAAGGTAAATAATGTACTATTTGTGGACAAAATGATTAGAATGTGTAGCCTTTATGTCCTCAGGATGTTGATTTATGTTGACTACGAGGACGTCACTGCCTTGTTTGTCGGGATGTTGGTGTACAGAAACACTAAATTAAACATCTACTAATATTATAAGATGCTAAGAAAAGTTGAGTTTCGAGGAATCTCTTATTTCATTATTGAAGAGCTTACTTTCGTTTCGAGTAAAAAGTGTTTGGGGAAGAGATTCGAAGCTCGATTCCACCGGAAGATGGCGGCTGATTTATCTTATGCGAAGAAAAGTTGGTTTTCGAAGAATCTCTTGTTTAATTTCGAGTGAAATTATTGTCCTCAGGATGTTGATTTATGTTGACTACGAGGCCGTCACTGTCTTGTTTGTCGGGATGTTGGTGTA